GTATCACGCAGATGAATACAGTGGCTTTTTTACGATAGAGAAATGTGCAGGTTTTACACCTTCACCGAAAAAGATAAATCTAGAAACTAGATAAACAAAACAAACCTTTAACCCCAACCCTTCCACCCCCCCCCCCAATAATCCCGAAAAAACCCCACACCCAAGAACTACACACCACCCCACTCTTTCCCATCTTGGATCTTTCAGTAGTATAATGACATTGTCCGACACGTTCACCTCTCTAAGACAGCAGTTTTCTTCTCGACAATGGATTGCTGTCTTATGTAATTTTGACTTTATTGTTATTGAATCTTGGAAATGAGGAATATGATGTGAATGGATATTCCAAAAAAAACAACAACCCACTTTTAAAAACCTTGTTATTTCTGTCTATTGCAGACGGTGACGGAGACTGCTGCCCTCACGGAAAAGGCCGACTGGAGATGGAAATTGCCGAACTTAACCGAAGAATCAACAGGTTGTCTCGGGAACTCAAAAACAACTGTCGTGGGTGTGAAGGTGAGACCTGAGATACTTGACTAGAATGGTGTATTTCTCAATTGCTCTCATGTTGAGTGGCGTCGGTGATCTAGTGGTTAGGCTCTCACACTTGCAAGCGTAAGCTTGTGGGTTCGAATCCCATCATGGGACCGACGTTGTGTACCTAGAAAAGGCATTTAAAACGAAGTTCCTTCACTTCACAGACATGGTATTCGGCTACAAACAGAGAAAGATCTGTTCTATGTAAGCGTAAATATTAGAGTATGTAACCCTCAACTTTCACTGTATGTTTCCCTGGAAGCCGAGTTCTAAGTGTTCTAGTGTCAGTTGCGGTAATGGTGTTTATTACTATTAATACTGGAGCAGAAAGTGGAGACAAAGGCAGACGACAGAACATTGGTAGAGAACAGGAAAGGATGTAAAAGTAGAACATTTTAGAGAAACACTTTTTTATGTCACTGCCAGGTTTCGGGCCCGGGACCTGTTGAATGGGAGGCAAACACCTTAACCTCTAGACCACGAAAAATCCCCCTCATTCTGCTTTATGACCGCGGTCAAATACGCTAAAGACGCCTGAGCTCAAAGTCAAAGAGTTTACGTACGTGCGTGCGTCTGGCAGCCACACCAAGCTTTTCTTTTTATTATTTTGTCACCTCTATTAACCCCCAAGCATCATCTGACGGTTTATGCTGCCATAAAATGCTCACATGAATCCGCGAAAGGTAAGTTGTTTTGGAGAAACGAAGAACATAAACCTGAGTGACACGGACAACGAAAGGAATGCACCTGGGTTTGGTTTACACCATAGGTTTATATTACATTATTCTAGACAGTGTACTGTTACACACTTCCGGATCGTTATGGAGAGCACCATTGCACTCAATTTGGAGCCCGATGAAAGGAAAGGCAGGAAGGGAAAGCTATCGAGGGTGTTTTGCTCCTCGTTTTGGCACCCATTTCGGGGATGGGCGTTTTTAATAGAGAGCAAAAGCGGCAGCCACGACGATACACAGTCTAAGATATGATCATATTCCAAGCCTATGATTTACACCAACTTGTTTTCTAGGCTAAAATTAGATTTGAAATATTATTGAACGTATTATTTGGACGTTTACTTGAATAGGATAATACCGCTTTCCCAAAAGACTGCCTGTTAGGTGAGATTATGTGTCTTTAAATTCCAAGCTCTTTGTTGTTGTCACATAAATCGCCACCTAGAATTACAGAGATCTCTCTGCTCAGTGCCTATTTTTGAGAAATTTGACATAAAACATGTTGAGGTTCCCGCTTTTTCAAGCTTTTTCGAATGCACTTCTTTTAATATCTCGATCACTACTCCGAACAATTTAACAATTTTGATAGAACAGACAGAGCATATTGATTTCTGACTTCATAGTATGAGTAGCTCAAAACGGCCAAAATTGTCAGATAGAACTTGGTGATTGTGAGGTAGCAAAATACGACTGAACACCCACGCTCTCCCCTTCTAAACTTCACACTCCTACCGCAGTCTCCTCTCCCCCACCCCCAAACAAAAACACACAAAAAATTGTCCAAGCAGAGTCTTCAAAGAATAATTATAGAAGAAAGCTTTTCTCCTGTTTCAGATCACCATTCATCAAAGCCAGTCAACATACTCTTTTATGCATAGTTACGCACAGAGCTAGAAGAACTACCAATTACTTAAGAATAAAGACAAATCTATTTTATCTTGTTCAATTCAGACCTTACCTGCATCACAACTTGTATCATTGCTTTCTTGAAATTGTCCTGCTTCAAGGCCCAGAATCCAGCACCCATGCATTTGTATGTGTAACCAATACCTCCTGCCCCTGACAGTTCAAGTTCCTTGATCTTTTTACATGACATGAACATCCAAAGTTCTTTTTTCTGAAATAAGCACAATAATGGTCCTCCACAATTCATTATTGAAACCATATGCTGACAATGCAAAAACAAATGTTGCGCTACTTCAGTCCTTTAGATTATGGAACATAAAAATTTCCTGATGCCCATTAGCACAAATTATGGGGAAAAAATCCTGCATTCTCTGTACTTCGAAATATGCAACATATGTTGTAAAAGAGAAGGAAGAATTCATCAAATAGATGACAATGCATTTTATTTTTTATTTGAGCTAATTGCCTTTCCAGACAAAAGAAAGAGTACTTGGCACAGAGGTAACGGTAAAGAAAGAAGTAGAACGAAGGAAAGAAAGAAAGCAGTGAACATATACAAATGTCAAACACAAAAGTTCACAATGAGTGTTATTTTGAATAGAAAAGGGGCAGCATCCCCTGCTGGTTTGCAATGGTGCAGAGGGTCTAATTGCTACCCCCACCCCACCCCCCTCTTTCGAGAAAAGATGAATCTGAAAAAGTATTCCACCACTACAAGTCTAAATGGCAAAACAAAATCCCC